TATGCACAAACAATGAATCATGGAACACTTCATCTAAAACTAATGATGTAATGTATGGGGATTAACATAAGAATAAAAAAAAAAAAAAAAAGAATGTTACTGCTAGAAAAGACCTTAGAAGTCATCTATTGACTCCAACCTATTTTAAAGAAAAGGAACTTAAAAGGTTAAGTGAGTTCACTAAAGTCCCTTACATGTCAGAAAAATTTAAAGCAATTTACATTCAGTGATTTTACTCTGAAATGACAAGAAAACTTGTATCATTTGGTTGCAGAAGTAATCTGTAGATCTTCTTGTGGTGTTATCCCCAATCACACCTTTCTTCTCACACTACCCAGTATTAATCAGAATGTCTTCCCTGATGTTCTTTTGTAAAAAACTTTTTACTGTGGCTCATTATGCAACTTTCTGGTCCCCTCATGAAAACATGCTTCTAGAAAGACAAGGTGGGCCTTATAACTAAGTTATACAGTGCCTTTGTGTGAAATTAGAAAAAGGAGACCCTCTGGAAGGATACAGCCCTTCTGTGCACTGTTTGGCAAATAGCACAGGCAGGATCTCAGTCCTCACTCAAGCTCAGCTGGGTACATTTGTGCAGTGCACAAACTTCATCAACTTACACTGCAGCCCTGGGATAGTAAAAGGAAAGTGAGCAAGTGACTCATAAATATTAGTGTTTCTTTAGAGAGCAGAGCTGATTTTAGATTTCATAGACACTAAGTTTCTGGGAGGACCCTATGTGCATTTTCAATGTAGACATGCACATATGTTCTTAGTGACAAAAGAAAATAAAAGAGGCTGACAATAGCTTTGGAAGAGAGAGAATAATATGTTTTCATTATAGAAAAAGTATCTATTTTAATATAAATTATCTTTTCTTTAAAAAAGATAAGTGATCTTTTCTTACTTTTCCTTTAAAACCCTTTCATAACACTATGGCTTTGGGCACTGCAGGCCATGTCCCCACACAAAATACCCAAAGAATACCATTATGGAAAAGAACAATGCTGGGTACCTGAAGGTGGAGATAAGTTCTGACTAAGATTCTGGCATTCTGGTTCTTCTTTATAGAAAATCTGTATGTCAGAAGTTTCTATTTCATCATCCTCAAGAACTTTCGATTCAGCATTTTTTGCATCTGTATGAGACCAAAAAGCATCTTAGAATCTTGATCTAATCTGATGATTGTCTTGATAGCACAAGTCCTACAAAGAGGTCATAATCCTAAAATTTTCAGCTCCATTAAAATTTCTCACAACCACTCCCTTTGACCTTCTAAAACAATGAAAAGAATCTTTTTGAGTGTGATGTCTCAATTTGCAGTCTGAACTTCAATGTCATTTAGGACTTTATTATTCAAAGTGTGAAACATGGGCCAGCAACTTCCAGAGCTTGTTAGAAATGCGGGCTGTGTCCCTACTAAGTCAGAATCTGCATTTTAACAAAATCCCCAGGTGATTCTCACAGACAGTAAAGAAGAGAAGCACCACTTAGCAGACATTTATGGCTTCCATTCCTGACTTAACCCAAGAAATCAGATGGGTATTTATATAGACATTTTCTAGAACAACTTGTGATGTAAAGAAGCCTAGGACAAGCGAAGACCAGGCAGTTGATTTACCAAACTCAGACTTTAAAACAATGCTCTGAGCAGAGGTTAGCTTCAGGAAATCACATGATGGCACAGATACTCCTTTTTCAATCCTGTTCTGGCTTAGTTCCTGATGGCTCAGGCAAGAGAAGTAGGCTATGTCTATTATGATTCTACTCTGAAAAGGGGGCAAGTCCTGGAGTTTGAACCTTTCACTCTAGAATTTTAAAGCTATTTCTCTGATAATTTACACCCAGAGAGTGAGCTCAGATTCTGCCTTCCCCAAATCCTTTGGACCAGATGGGTTAATTCTGGATGAGAGCAGTTTGCCCTGGTCCATTTTAGGGGTTACACACAACCGAATTACTTCTGTAGGCAAGTAGCCACTTGCTTCCCAGAACTCAATTTCATGCTGCTCTCTCACTAGAGATGTAGCCATGGGTCTTTGAAGGGCAAAATGCCTCTGACAGTGAGTGAAAGACAAGTAGGAATGAAAGAGGCCCTAAGTAGAACTATGAGAAAGGTAGAACATGTTTTCAGACCCTCCCAACCTTTCAGAGCTCTTCCCTGGAATATCCTACCTTTGTCCACAATCCACAGTTGACTGAACTTGTTCTCGTCCATCTCCAAAGCAAGTTTCAAAGTTTTGGGCCAGTTTTCCTTGTCTGATCTGAGAAGGCATTCAACCATTTTCTCCGCACCTGCCATCAGCCCCTTGTTGGAACAAACCTAAGCAAGACAACTGCAGTTGATCAATCAATCATTTTAAAAGTTTTCCTTTTATGAGTTTTTATTGAAGAAATATCAATTCAAGCACTACCTGACTTAAAATAATTGTATACTATGGTTCAATAGGTCTTATTCATGACCATTTTTGCCCCATCCAACACAGTGTCTTTTAAGACACCCTTTCCTTTGTCATTGTCTTTACACATGGCATTGCTATGTCAAGCCAGGTGTTTTCACATCCTCTGAGACCTTATATGTATCATCCTCAGCAATATTAGGAAACAATCCATTTGACAACCATTCAAAATATGGGTATATTGGCATGGAGAGATATTTGGAAGAATATAACAAAAAATTTACAAATATTTTTTCAGGATAATGGGACCTATGTGATTTTTATTATTCATCATAACTAAAATTTATTGAGCACTTATTATTATGTGCCAGGCATATGTAAGCACTTTACATATATTATCTCATTTAATCCCTCTAAAAATATCATGTTAATAAGGTACTATTATTATTTCCATTTTACGTGAAGAAATAGGTTTAGAGAAACTAACTTGCCTAAGATCATACTACTAGTAAATGGCTGAACTAGGATTCTAACAAGATTTGTGTGCAGAGCCTGAATGCTCAACCATGAGAGTCTACAGCTTTTGTTCTTTTTATTTGCTAAAGTGTTCAACTTAAAATTTGCATAGAACATTATTCACAAAATAATAATTTTAACTGAAAATAGGGCAAATCTGAAAAAAACTCGTGACACTAAAAATTACTCAATTCACAACTAAAAATACTATTCTAGGTAATTATGCCTTAGATTTGAGGACTTCTGTGGATTTCAATGATCTTTCTCAGGTCTAAATCAGTGGAGAAAACAGAAGACATTTCCCATGTTCAAATTACCTCCCCCCAATTTAGTATTTTATATTAAATTAAATTAATTATAATTAATTTTGCTAAATAAATTAATTAAATTACCTGTATAATTTCTTCACATTCCTGACTAATTAAACATTCAGATATTTTAGGAAGGATATCTTTTGGATTAACTGTGGTTTTAAATTCTGGTTGTAAACGCTTTAAAAGTATTCTATACTCCTCTAGACTTTCAATTTTTTGGAAATCCCAAGTTTCAATGGCTTCATGAAGTCCAGAATAACCTGGAAAGAAAGAAGAAAATGGGGGCTTTTATGAAACCAACTAAAAGATATGTTAAGATTGTTATCATAGGAATCATGTTTGAATGTATAGTAAGAGAACTCAAAAGATATCTGTAAATCACCTCAATAATTAATGATCTTTCAAAAAGCAAACTCAATATTTATTATAGGCACCCAACATTTTAGGTCCTCTAACAAAGTTTTTCCTCTCTTAGGAAAAAGTACTTAGGATAATGTGAAGTCTTACATTTGGTCTTAGTTCCAAGTGTCCCGTGGACCTCACCTACAACCCCTGACTTGTCTTCCAGTGAGTCAAATCATCATGAAATTATTATCTTCCCAGTGCAAAGTAGCAAAGTGGGCAAAAGGAAATATAAGTCTTAATTCCTGCCCCTTAGGAACTTAACCTTCTACATTACTCCCAGAAAAGAATATTAAGTATAATAGGAAATATGAGGAGAAAAAAAATTATTTCCAACTGTAATAATTCAAGAATGCTTCAATCTAAGTTTCTCAAATAAAATCACCAGATTTGTCTGACTATACAGCCCATATTCTTTTCATTTGGCTATAGAGAGCCTAACAACAAAATGAACACATGGGAACCCACTACCCAACTTAACTAGGATTTCCCAGTACTTTTGTGGGAGTGTGCCGTCTTTTTCCCCACCTTTTCACCTCCCTGCAAAGAGACTACCATTCTGTATTTGATGTATCACTCCCTTCAGTTTTTTGAATAGTTGCATGGCATACACTTGATTCCTTCAACAATGTATGCTTAGGGGTGCGTGGATGACTCAGTCAGTCAAGGGTCTGCTTTCTGCTCAGGTCATGATCTCATGGGTCCTGGGACTGAGGCCCACATGGGGCTCCCTGCTCGGCGGGGAGTCTGCTTCTCCCTCTGCCTCTGCCCCTTCCCCCTGCTCATGTGTGTATGTGCACTCTCTCTCTTTCAAATAAACAAAGCATCTAAAAATTTTTTTTAAAAAAATAAAGGCTTTAAAAAAACAATACGTTTAGTTTGGCTTGTTTGGAACTTCATGATTACATCCTACTAAATGTACTTTCCTCTGCTTTTTAAAAAGTTTACTATTACATTTCAAAGCTTCAGCTGTCTTGTCGTCTGTAGCTGCGTTCATACATTGTCACTGCAGTACAGTGGACCCGTCATGTGACTATTACAGAATTTTATCATCCATTTTCTTTTTGAAGGACACTGGGTTGCTTCCAGTTTTGTTTGGTTGGTTGCTTGCTTTTGTTATTACAATTATTCTATGAACATTCTTGTATGTGTATGCTGCAATATATGTGCAAGAGTTTTTCTAGGGTACATACTTAAGAGTGAAACTGTTGGAAACTGAGGGTTGCTGGAGTGGTGGGGGGTGGGTGGGATGAGTGGCTGGGTGATAGACACTGGGGAGGGTATGTGCTATGGTGAGCGCTGTGAATTGTGCAAGACTGATGAATCACAGATCTGTACCTCTGAAACAAATAATACATTATATGTTAAAAAAAAAAGAAGAAGATAGTAGGAAGGGAAAAATGAACGGGGGGAAATCGGAGGGGGAGATGAACCATGAGAGACGATGGACTCTGAGAAACAAACTGAGGGTTCTAGAGGGGAGGGGGGTGGGGGATGGGCTAGCCTGGTGATGGGTATTAAGGAGGGCACGTACTGAATGGAGCACTGGGTGTTATATGCAAACAATGAATCATGGAACACTACATCAAAAACTAATGATGTAATGTATGGTGACTAACATAACACAATAAAAAAAAGAGTGAAACTGTTGGACAGGTGGATACAAGAGAGTTGAACTATATTAGATGATGCCAAATTGTTTTTCAAAATAATTGCATTAATTTACACTCTGTATAGTGACACTTAAGATTTCCCATGATTAAATATCCTCTTCAAGCCTTAGCATTGTTGGACTTCCTAAGTTTTGCTATCTAGTAGTTAATAAAATGCTATCTCATTGAGTTCCTAATTCACAATTCCCTAATTGCTATTTGGGCTGAAAATCTTTTCATATGTTTATCAACCTTTCTTACTCCCTATTCTTTATAATGTCAGTTCACACTTTTGCCCTGTAGATGTTTTCTTTTCCAAAATGATTTTAAGGCCTTTTTAATATATTCTAGATATTAATCTTTTTGGTGATTATATATTTTGTAAAGATCCTCTCCCAGTTTGTGCCTGTTTTTTCACTTTCTTTTGTGTTTGACAAACAGATGTTTTTAATTTTAATGTCATTAAATATATCAATTTGTCTTTTATGGATAATGCTTTAATGTTTGTTTCATAAATCCTGCCATACCCCAAGGTCATAAAATATTATTCTATATTCTTTTCTAAAATTGTTAAAATTTTGCCTTTTAGAATTAAGTCTTTAATTCTTATGAATTCATTTTGTGCGTATGTGTGAATGGAATGAGCTAAGGAATACAAATTTATTTTACATGGATATGTAATTTAGGGTTTGTTTGGTTTTTAACATTATCCTGTTTATAATGGCCCACTGCAACTTATTAAAAGCCCCTCTGTTCCTAATGATCCTCCTTTCCCAGTGATCTCAAATATATCAGGTTTTCATAAATATATGAATTTAATTGAAGACTCTCTATTCTATTTCATTGGTCAGTTGGTCAATGCCAGGACCAACGTTACGTTGTCTCAATGCCTAGCATAAATCTTGCTATTTAGAAGGGGAAACCCCAGCCTACTTAAGTCTTCTTCTTCAGGAATGTCCTGACTATTCTTGGATCATAATTCTTCCATTTACATTTTAAAATCATTTAGAAATTTGTCAAGCACATGAAAAAGCATGTAGGATTTTTATTAAAATTGTATTGAATACAAAAATCAGTGTTGAAAGAGCAGATATTTTTATGGTATCAAGTCTTTCTCTCCATGTGCATGGGTATATATCTCCACTTAGATAGGACTTCTTTAATATCTTTCAATAACATTTTATCATTTTCTCCATTTGGACTTTACACACCTTTTGCTACATTTTTCCTAAATATATCACAACTTTTGTAACTATTCTAAGTGATATTCATTTTGGACTACATTTTCTGTTTGCTTCCAGTGGCTAGAAATGCAGCTAATTTTAGTGCTTTATTTTTATTACAGTATAATTAATATACAGTGTTTTATTAGTTTCAGGTGTGCAACATAATGCTTCAACAATTCTATACATTACTCAGTGCTCAATATGATAAATGTACTCTTTATCCCCTTTATCTGTTTCACCCACCTCCCTACCTACTTCCCTTCTGGCAACCACCAATTTGTTCCCTATATCTAGGAGTCTATTTTTAATTTGTCTCTTTTTTATTTTGTTCACTTTGTTTCTTAAATTCCCCAAATAAGTGAAATCATATGGTCTTTATCTTTCTCTGACTGACTGATTTCACTTAGCATTATACCCTCTAGATCCATCCATGTTGTTGCAAATGGCAAGATTTCGTTCTTTTTTTTTATGGCTGAGTAATATCCCATTGTATATATACCACATCTTTATTCATTCATCTATGGATAGACATTTTGGTTGCTTCCATATCTTGGCTTTTGTAAATAATATTGCAATAAACATTGAGGCGCCTGCATCCCGTTGAATTAGTATTTTCGTTCTCTTTGAGTAAATACCCAATAGTGGATCATATGTTAATTCTACTTTTAATATTTGGGGAACCTCCATACTGTTTTCCACAATGGCTGTAGCAGTTTGCATTCCCACCAACAGTGCACGAGGGTTCTTTTTTCTCCACATCCTCACCAACACTTATTAGTTGTGTTGGCCATTCTGACAGGTGTGAGGTGATATATCATTGTGGTATCTCAGTATCTCATTGTGGTTCTGATTTGCATTTCCCTGATGATTAGTGACGTTGAGTATCTTTCTATGTGTCTGTTGGCCATCTGTATGTCTTCTTAGGAGAAATGTCTGTTCATGTCTTCTGCCAATTTTTTAATCAGATCGCTTGATTTTTTGGTGTTGAATTGCAGAAGTTCTTTATGTATTTTGGATATTAACCCCTTATTGGATATGTCATTTGCAAATATTTTCTCCCATTCAGCAGGTTGTTTTGTTTTGTTGATGGTTTCCTTTGCTGGGCAAAAGCTTTTTATTTGGTGTAGTTCCAATAGTTTAATTTTGCTTTTATTTCCCTTGCCAAAGGAGATAAATCTAGAAAAATGTTTCTATGACTAATGTCAAAGATATTACTACCTATGTTTTCTTCTAGGAACTTTATGGCTTCTGGTCTTATATTTAAGTTTTTTAATCCATTCTGAGTTTATTTTTGGGTATGGTGCAGAAATGCAACTAATTTTTGTATACTAATCTTATATCCAATGAACTTGTTAAACTCTCCCAATAATCTCTCTGCAGATTCCTTTGGCTATTTCAGGTAGGCAATTATATTATGTGACTGAAAATAATCTTTACATTGCATCCAATTAAGAGACATGAGACACATGAGGATAGCTCAAAATTAATAGCATTTCACTTTTACAGCATTCTGAAACAGTCAAATAATATCCTCTGATTCATGAGTAAGAAGAATGAACTAACCTGCATGAACAAGGGCATCCAAAAAGCCACGGAACCAGCCTTCTTCCTGGAGCTCCAATAGGAACTTAAGAAAAAGTGAGGCAGCCTCCATCGTGCCCTTATTGTTTTTCTCAGCCTGAATATGCTGTACCTCATCTACAAACAGAAGCAAGAGTGACTCATCAAACTGCACAACCACTAATCACTGGAAGAAAAACCTGAAAAGGGTTGTCAGACTTTCTCAAATGAGGATGGCGATTGTAACAAATCCCAGCAATGGAAGGAACTGCGAGAAGGCAGCAAATTCTCTGTTCAGGCAGATGATGCCCATTCTTCACCAACCGACCTTCCCTCCCACCTCCCATCCTCTCTAGAAACTTCTCCTAGTTTGGTGTGGGAGTCTGGGAACATATTCCATGGCAATCCTTTAAAAAGGGAGTCTCTTAATGATGTGTGAAAAAGTATCCCCATAACAAAGGAGAAACCACTGTAACACTGGATTAGGTGGAGGAACAAAGGCTTCTCCAACATTTGGATACTCCCTTGTTCAAAAGTCTGAATTAATTGCAGGACTACAAAAGTGTGAGGATAGGACTACTCCATGGCATCCTTAATTACACCAGACTCAGAAAACAGAGTTAGAAATAAAAAAGATGCTTTCGTGGTCCTCTTTCCAGGTTTTTGCTTAGACAGTATGAAATACGGGAGAAAAGAAAAAGCAAGAGGAGCTAAACAGAACATGAGGCCAGGGTGCAGAATACTATCCACCAAACTGTTGGTGGTCACATGACTTTGTACACTACCTCCATGTCTGGGGCGGTGATGATCACATGGTTGCCTACACATGACCTGACATTTGATAGTGTTCCTTTTTTCCCCCTTATTGTCAGTGGAATGTAAATTCCAAGCAATAAGTCTGGTTAACCGCTGTATCCTCAGAGATTAGAAGAGGACGTTAGCACAATATAGACACTCCACAAAGGTATACTGAATGAATGAAGAAAGGAAGGGATAGCTTCCTTTTCTGCCAAGGTCTCTGTCTTGGGAACAATAAAATTAACCATTTTAATGTGTAAAACCCAGTGGTTTCTAGAATTGTGGATCTATCACCACTATCTAATTTTAGTACACTGTCATTACTGTAAAAAGAAATCTTGTAGCCCCTAGCAGTCACTCCCATCTCCCTTCCCCTTAAACCCAGGCAACCATTAATCCACTTGGGTCTCTACAGATTTGCCCACTTTGGACATTTCATCTGAATGAAATCATACAATATGTGGTCTTTGTAACTGGGTTCTTTCACTTAGCATAATGTTTTCAAGGTTCATCCATGTTGTAGCTTATATCATTCGTTCCTTTTTTATTGCTGAGTAATATTCCATTGTATGGATACACTATATATTGTCTACCTAGTCATTAGTTAATTTTGGGCTATTATGAGTAGTAATGCTCTGAACAGTCATGTACAAGTGTTTATGTGGACGTATGTATTCACTTATCTTGAATTTATGCCTAACTGAGATTGCTGGGTCATATGGTAACTCCATTTAACACTGTAAGGAATTATCAAACTGCTGTCCAAAGGAGCTGCACCATTTTACATTCCCACCAGCAATTAATGAGGATTTCAATTTCCACACATCCTTGCCAACACTTTTTTTTTTTATTTTAGCTATCTATATTAGTTTTCTGTGGCTGCAGTAACAAATTAGCACTAACTGGTTGGCCTTAAAACAATAGAAACTTATTCTCTCACAGTTCTAGAGACCAGAAGTCTGAAATCAAGATGTTGGCAGGGCTACACTTCCTTTGAAGGTTCTAAGGGACAATACAACCCTTATAGCTCCTAGTGGCTGGTGGCCTTTGTGGGCCTTTGTGGGCACATCAAATCTTTGCCTCTTTCTTGTGGCCGCATCACTACAACCTCTGCTTTGTCTTCACATGACATTCCCTTTGTCTCTCTGTGTCTTCCCATGGTTATCTTCTTATAAAGACACCAATCACATTGATTAGGATCCCACCCTACTCCAGTATGATCTCATCTTAACTAATTACCTCTGTAAAGATCCTATTTCCAAATAAAGTCACATTCTGAGGTCCTGGGGCTTAGGACTTCAACATATCTTTTTTGGGGAGGACATAATTCAACCCATAATAGCAACCTATCTTATCACCTATCCCAACTTTTCTGGGCACACAATTTAACTCTATTCCTTTAAGAGAGTTAATCCTGTTCCTAAACCCCATCTTTAGAGCTGGGTTCTTACTCCCAGGCCTCCCTGCTGTTTGTTCTTTCCTCAGACATGCTACCAGCCATTACTGACACTCCACATGAAGGCCCAGATATATCCCACTCACAGCTGAGCCCTTCCCAGTTAAACTGTCTTGCTGTATCAGGGGCAGTTTAGCTTTACTCTGCACATGGTCGGGCCCATCCTGCTGCTACCTGGCCCCGATAACTGCTTCTAAGTAGTGCTACTTTCCTCAAAAGTACTGGGAGTCCAATGCAGAGAAAATTCTATTTTTGGCTGTCAGTATTACCTTTGCCATGCTGGCCACTCTGTGATGCCATCCTCAGCTTCCCAAGGTGGAATTTCTTGATCTCTTTTCTGTGCTTTCTTGGTCTCTTTACATGCCTCTGACTAGAGCACTAACACTGCACAGTATATAGTAACTGTTTGAGAGTCTACCTTTTCCCATTGACTGTGATCATGGACATGTTGTATTCATTTTTGTCTTCATCTTTGCATTCTAATCATCAACAAAGTGCCTGGCTCATGCATGTGTCCAGAGCATGTTACTGAAGGAATGGATAAATACTCAGAATTCTCCTCCCTCCCAGAATACTACCCAGGGCTCCTCCAGGATAAGAGTTAGCTTTTGACTCCAAAGGGATACTACCAAAAATTTGTAGCCCACAACCTGGTCTACCTTCAAACATCCTGGATAATATGTGAATAAGCAAAGCCCTGCAGTACCCTAGTCATCATGCAAGGTCTCCAGAAGAAACATGGCTTCGATTCTCCTTTCCCAAGATTCAACTAGTGCACAATATCCAACACGTGGAAAGCAGGATTATGGTAAAAGACATACTGGTTATTGCTGGTGTAATTTAAACATATTGGTGTACTTGTGTGTGCATGGGGGAATGTATGGGCATAAGGAGAGTGTGGATAAGCTCCCACTTATAAGGGCAAAAAAATGAGTCAAAATGTTTATAGCCAGCCATAACACTCATGTCTCAGCTCCCTGACTGAATCCTGACTGATAGAATATACTTGTCACAATTAAGGTTAACTAATAGAATCCAGAGATTCCAAAGCATCCAAGAAAAAAATGGGCGATGGAGAAACTTTATCAATCTAACAGAAAACAGAAAAAGATAGGAAGAAAAAAGTTTATGGATACATGTGCACATGATAAAGTATAAAGAAATGAACAGGAAAGATGTAAGCCAACTAAATGACAATAGCTTCCTCTGAGAAGGAGCTGGAAATAAAACCTCTATGGTGTCTTTAACATTAAAAAATAAGACAGTATTACATATAGTGTTCTTCAGCTTGCTGTCTCTATTTACTTTTTGGTATTTTTAATGTGATTGCATTATAACTACAAATTAAAACTAATATATATATTAAAAAGTATGCCACCTTTGCGCTCCCACAGCACACTATAGTTTTCTGGCAGAGCACTTCTGTTTTGTCATCTATGGTTTGTTTAGTAACCTGCCTTCACATATGCACTCTGACCTCTATTACGGGCCATTTCTATCACACTCACCACGAATTTCTCAGTTCCTACTAGGACACTTCTTATTAGATAATATGTGTAATAATATGTGTCAATTCTGTCCAATGCTAACACAATGCCTAACACATTATGAGTTGCTTGAATCGACACATGAGTGCAAGAAAGAATGGGATTCACACCAGTTTGTTAGTGTTTCATTCATGACAAGATTTCTAAAAGAGATGTCCTGAAGGGGCTTACACTCTTCTGGGGCCCAAGCTACTCTGTGGTCATTAGGATGTTACTTTGTTACCTCTCTCTGAGCACAAATAGAAAGCAGAAGCCCACTTTTGTTGGTGGTATTCTTTCACTCCTCACTCCACAACCTGTGGTTTTTGCAGAGCAATGAGCACTCAAATTACGTGTCTGCTTTCACACAATTTCCCCAAACTGCCTCACATCAGGAAAGATATTTAGGCACTTGGAGCCTGAAAAGGAGTTGCCAGATGCCCTCTCTCATTTCAACTCCTTCGAAGCACCACCTCCCTTTTCCTCTTTCCTCAAAGCCTCTGTGCATCTCCAGCATAGTGCACCTGGATTCAAATTTACAAAGTGGCATTCATCCATCATCAGGTGTCTCACAAGCTAGACAGAAACACTGGAAGTGAAGCTTGTAGCCATTCAGTCCAGAGAGTCTTGCCCTCTCAAGCTTGTTATTCCTAAGTGCGAATAAGACCTGGCAAGAGTTAACTGTCAATTACCTTGTAGCTCTGACAGCATTTTGTAATCATTTATGTACATCTGTCCTCACCAGTATCCTGCCCCCAAAATCTTGGCTGCAAAGTATTTTAAAGAGCCAAAAAAAAAAAAAGGCGGGGGGGCTATATCTTACTCCTGAATCTGTCAGTACAAAGCCGGACACCGTAGACATAACCATTAGAGAAAATAAATGAAATGGACAATGGTTTGTCTCCCCAGCTTTGAACTTAAATAGATGTGCAATCCTACACAAGTCATTTCACTTCTCTGGGACTGTTTGTCCGTCTGGACCTCCAAAGGCTCCTCAAATTCTCCTGGCAATCTCCAGTCTTAAAATGCTGTGAGGATCTTGCCTCAACACCCGCGTTCCTAGCGGGCTACTTCGCGCTGATTAGAAGGAAGGGAAAAGCAAGTCCTGAGTTGTTTCCTTGCTCCAAGGGGCAGGCGTCACTGGGGACCACTCACCGTCCTTAAACCAGGGGGCCATGTAGCTCAGGATGCAGGTAGGGTCCAGAGTCTTCGTGACATAGTCCCGGAAGGCGTGCAGATTCCGCCGATCCTCGGCCGACATGCTAGCAACTTGGCTCCCGGTGAGGTCCCTGCTTCGCCCGCGTCCCACTCTCTTGAAAGCCTGGTGGCGGCGGGCTGACACAGATCTTCTGACAAGAGAACTCAGACCCAGTGCTGAGGGGTGGAGCCGCTTGGGAACCTCAAGAGCAGACAGGAAATCGAAACTGCAACTAGCAACCTGCTGGGGCATGCCACAGCAGCTGGACTGCCGCAGGTCCCCGCCTCCCCGACCGCATTTTTCCCTGAGCTTTCGCGTCCTCTGGCTGCCTGGATTGCCAACCTGTGGGCGCTCGCTCACCCAGAGGGGCCGTTTTTTTCATTTTGCTTTTATATCAGGAAAGTTTGGACTCAATAAAATGCACAGATTTTAAGTGTATAATTCCATGAGTTTTGAAAAATGTGTATGGGTGTAACTGCTTCCTCCAGGTCGTGTAGGTCCTATGGTAAGTGCATGTTTAACGTCACAGAAACCTGCCCCGTTTTCCAAAATAGATGTACCGTTTTGCATCCCCACTGGTAGAGTAAGAGCTCCAGTAGATACACATTGGCCAATTTGCCATTTTGGTCAGTGTGAAACGGTGTTTCATTGTGGTTTTAACTCCTCAAACGGTTAATGATGTGAGCACATTTGCATGTATTTATTGGCCATTCATTCATCTATCTTCTTTAGTGAGGTATTTGTTCCCATCTCTTGCCTGATTGAGTTTTCTTTGTATTATGGATTTACAAGTTATTTATTCTGGATATGAGCCCACTGTCAAATATATGTATTCTAAATATCTTTTCCCAGTCTGACTTACATTTCATTTTCTGAAAAGTGTCTTTCAAGCAAACGTGAAATGACACAAAGAAAGCAAATGGAGTCATGCGACAAAATAATGGAGGCTGGAAAAAACTATTTCAATACGGTGGTAAGGGCATATCTCTCTGGGTCGGTCACATTTCAGCTGAGTCTTTAGGAATGAGAAGGAATGAGCTATTCAAAAAAGAAGAGGGGTGCCTGGGTGGCTCAGTCGTTATGATTTCAGGGTCCTGGGATCGAGCCGCATCAGGCTCCCTACTCAGCGGGAAGCCTGCTTCTCCCTCTCCCACTCCCCCTGCTTGTGTTCCCTCTCTCGCTGTGTCTCTACCAAATAAATAAAATCTTTTAAAAAAAACAAAAACCAAAAAAGTAAGAAGAGAGGGATTCCATGCAGGGGGACAGAAAGCACAAATGAGTCAAAGAGAAAAAGTGAACGAGGGATATCCCTTCTTGAACAAGGGATAAATGGCAGACAGTCCTGCTGAATTGGTAAAGAGGGCCTTGTAAGGCAAGGAATAAAGAAACACATTGCAGGATTTTAAGCAAGGAGTAACATAATTTGATGACTTTTTTTTTTTTTTAAATGTAAAGCCTTTCTCTCTGGCTCCTATGCAGAACAAGTAGATCAATGAGCAGTGACTCAAGTAAGAGATGATGAGAGCACAGATAAGACAGCGGCGGTGGAGAATAAGAAATGAAATGTTTCAGATATAGAGGACTGAGTGACTGGCAGTGGAAAGGAAGAAAGAAAAAAAAATATCAAGGCTACATTGCAGGCATCTGGTTTGAGCAACGAGGAGAACGGCAGCACCATGACTAAAATGGAGAAGACAGGTTTACAGCTTATTATATCCTAGTGTGGAAGACAGGCAAGAAAGTAAATAACAGTAAATTCAGGAAGGAGAAATAAAGCAAGATAAGGGAATAAAGAGTAATGAGGGTTGCTTATATAAGATGAGCTAAATCAGGGAAGACCTAAAGAAAGTGAGAGAGAATGTCATTTGGGTGAAGAGCATTGTACTAAACAAGCAAGCAAAATGCAAAAGAGAAAAAAAGAAAAAGCACACAAAAAAAAACCAAAACAAAACAGGAGTGAACCAGGCCTGCAAAAGAAAAAGGAGGTGAGCGGTCTCGCTAGAGTGAAGTGGGCTGGGGGAAAGAGAGAGAGAGAGGGGTGGCCAAGGCAGTTCACATACACCCTGACCGACCACAAAAAGGACTTCAGCTTTGGTTTTGATTTTAAATATGATGGGGAACCATGGCAGAATTTTGAAAGGGAATATAAGATCTGTTTTTAAAGGATCACTGTGGTTGACTGGAAGAAAACAAGCTGCCGGGGGACAGGGTAGAAGCCGAGTAACCAGGTAAGAAGCTGGTACCAGCACTAGTCGAAGTGAGAGATGAGGGCATCTTGGATCAAGATCAAAGCTGTGGAAGTGGTAAAGTTGCAGGATATATAACCCTAAAATCACACACAATTTGGTGATGAATTGATGTAGGACATGTGAGAAAGAAGTCAAGGAGAATTCCTGTTTAGCCTGAGCAGCTGCATGAATGGTGGTGCCATCCACTAACATGGAACACTGGAAGATGGGCAGGCTTGGAGGAGGAAATCAAGAACATGCTTGCTTGCTTGCTGATAATGATCCACAGGCAGGGCTTCCCAAACATGAATGCCCACACAGGTCTTATTAAAATACAGATTCTGACCTAGTAGGTCTGAGACTGCATTTCTTACAAGCGGACATTGGTGATACTGATGTTCCTGGTCCACAGACCTCGTTCTAAGTACCAAAGTAACTAAAAAACATGAGATAAAGGAAAAGGGAGGATAATTTAAAAATCAACATTCCTACTAAAGTGGGGGGTAAGTGAAATCCTGAGCGCATGTGGAAGGGATGTCATAGAACAGTGGTTCTCAAACTCTGGTTTGTAGGCCGGTAGCATCAGAACCACCTGGAAACTTGTTAGAAAAGCAAATTCTTGGCATCCTAGATGTCCTGAATCAGAAACTGTGGGTGTAGGCCTCAGCAATCGGTTTTAACAAGCCTTCCAAGTGATACTGATGCATGCAAAAGTGTGAGAACTAAAGGCCTAGAGGAAGAGAGCTTCATCCACTGATGGAGTGAAGATGGATGCTATGGTAGGTTGAATGCAAAAATTACAATTCCTCACTTTTCCCAATATTTACACCTTTTGCTACAGAGGTAACTTTTTGGTAAATAGGGTTTATGTTTGCCCAAACCTGGCACTGGCCAGAACTGCCCCGCCAATATGGAAAGCATGTGGTAGAGACAAGTGGGAGGTTTGAGGAAAAGGTATGAAATATACCCATTATACCAATGAGCAAGAACACTAAAGAAAATATTCCACTAACATATTGTATGAAGTTGAGGCTGGGGATTGTGTTTCCATGGTGACACCAATCTGCAGTTACTAATTTCCTTCAAAAACACTCAGCAGGATGCATGTAGGCACAACTGAAGAGTTGGGTCGATCCAAACTGAGGTCTTGCTAGGCCAACTATTGCTGCGGAATCTGGCATGTGACTTATTTTTAAACAGGCCAAAGCTAAAAATTGTTTTAACATTTTTAGTGTTGCAAAAACAACCAAACAAAAAAAAACGACTATACAACAGAGACTACATATGACCCATAAAGCCTAAAATATTTACTATATGGCCTTTGCAGGAAAAGGTTGCCGACCCCTGAACTAAGTGAACAAGGAGAGACATAAGGGCAAGAGAGTTGTAGGGTACTGCAAGGGAGTGATTTAAACATAATCTGCAAAATCATAGCTGAGCATGAAGAAAGTATAGAGGAAGAGGGTAATTGATAGCGTAGGGTCAAAAGATTATACTTCTTAATCCTGTATTCTAAAAATGGTATTAGATATTCTTGTAGGTGGCCTAATCTGCTCCACCCAGAGCAGAATTACCTGATTCAATGACCACATGAAGGTAACAGTGACATGCTCCAAGAATTTAAAATGAAGATTAACCTCTTAGAAATTCTGTTTATGCCTGGTGGTGGGTATTGAGGAGGGCACGTTCTGCATGGAGCACTGGGTGTTATGCACAAACAATGAATCATGGAACACT